TGGTTAGCAGTCAAATCCCTTAGGCACTATGCCACCAGAGCTCCTTTTATAAATGAAACGTATTATGCAAATTAGAAAGATTAGTGTTTGGGTTAACATGCCTATATGTGTGCCCTTAAAGACAATGTGATGTTTCTAAACCTAATCCACTGATTTTGACTTCTGTACTACTCTCCTCCCACTAGCTTGGATTTATTTATTAATACATCACATTAGTCACTGCATATTAATATTTGACCAAGTATTGTTAGCTACTAGGATCTGGGGAGTTCGTATAAAGAGGTGAATGAGGACACAATTCTAGTCTAGTGGGGAAGACAGACACATGTACAGATGCCCCAAATAAAACTGATCAACCAAAACCAAAAACCAAACCAACTGCCATCAAGTCAGTTCTGACTCATGGCGACCCTATACGACAGAGTAGAACTGCCCCATAGGGTTTCCAAGGCTGTAAACCTTCATGGAACCCAACTGCAGAGTGGCTGTTGGGTTCAAACCACCAACCTCTTAGGTTAGTAGCCAAATGCTTTAACCACTGTGTCACCAGAGCTCCTAAAAAGGAAAAAAGTTACACTTAATTACTACTTGTGATGCAAAGGTCTTGCAGAAGTTTTTACTGAAAACAGCCATTAGCCAGTTTTTATTAACAATAAATTATTAATAAAGTACTTTAGCTTTTTTTAATAACAGTTATGTCAATTACCATAGAAGTAAGAATGAGGGACTCCAAAGCCCCAAATGGGGGAGGAGTATAAGGAAAGTTTCACTAAAGAGATGACATGTGCACTGGTTCCTGAAGGATGTATGGGATTCACTGGGGTGGAGAACAGCATTCCGGGCAGAAGTACTAGCAGGGCCAAAGGGCAGAGTTGGAGCATGGCACGGCGACTGGTGAGTGGTGACTAGCTCCAGGTACAGTGAGAAGCTGGGGAGGCTGGAGACCTTGGCTGACCTTGGCACAGGGACCGGGCTTGAAGGTCTGTGTGTGGTTATGCTCAGTGTGGGTTTTACCTGGGGACAGTGAAGAACTAGTGAAAGATTCTAAGGCAAGAAAGCAATTTGGTCAGATATGCTTCTAGAGCTATCACTTTGGCAGCCACAATGTGGACACTGACCTGGATAGGGTAGGCTGCTACAACGATCTGAGGACATGAAGATGAGGCACAGACCAGGGCAAGGACAACTCCCAGCTCAACCACAGAGCTGTTCCCTGGGTGCACAGGTGAAGGCTGAACGGCCTATCTTATTCCACCAGTTCACAGACTCATGAGATGTCAGACCTACAGGGCCCCTTGGAAAGCACCTCACCGCCTCTACCCGGATTCATAGATGAGAAAACCAAGGACAGCAGGGGTCTTGGCTTTATAGTGAGAACCAGAATGGAAGCCCTTGCTCAGTATTTTTCAAACCATATGAGATAAAGAACAAGTTCTTTGTACCCAATTCATTGCAGTCCAATTCTTTTACAAAATACCATAAAAATAAATTTCTAGAAAAATAACAGACATCTAAAATCGAAGTCCTTGTCTTTTGTTAGCCTTAACAGGTATAAAGTCACTGTCCTATTGCCACCCACGTTTCTAATTGCTCCCTCTCTGTGTTTGTCCTTTTCTCACTGGGATCTGTTATCAGTGAGCACACTGCTCAACCTGCCATCACTTTGCTCTCAGAGGTGGAAACATCAAAACACAGGGCAGTAAAGGTTTTTCTGTAATTAGGAAAGTGGAAATCCAGCCATACCCCACCCCTCATTTCCCTTTCCATTCCCTGAGCCAGGGATGGGTAGGTACTGCACAGGCCAAGAATTGCTAAGGAATGAGGCAGCAAGAGAACTTACTGTTCCTACACAATAAAATCAGAACGAACTGGTAAACCAGAAGCTGGCTTCAATGAGCCTCAATGCCCAAGGCTCATCAGCTCTTGCCTAGATGTGGTCACTAAGCACTGCGACCACAGTACCCGCTGCCCCGATAGCTGCCTTGAGGCTCTAGGGAAGCCACTCATGCTCCACAGCACTGTTGCCCCCACCCTGCCCGTGGCCTCTCCACCCCTACTTACTTGTAAGGGACTTACTGCTGGAGCTCGGGGATCTCGAAGGCCCCTCTTTGCTCTCCAGGGTCAGTGTGAGGCCATAGTTTGGGTGGTGCTGGTG